AATTGGAGAATACAGAAAACTGGCTGTTTGTATTTCTAATAATGTATCAAACAAAAAGCACTCTGGGTCACATATGATATCCTCATGAGTTTTTTTTTTTTTTTATTGAACAAAATATATAAAATATTAAACCTTGTATATTGACAGTGGCATGTCTAACACATTAGAAAAATTGTAACATAGTCCTGTAGCATAGCCCTGTCTATTTCAGAGACCATAAGGGCTACGAAGATAAGCGTGTTGTGGTGATTGGTGTAGGGAACTCTGGGAATGATGTTGCAACTGAGCTGGGACGAATAAGTAAACAGGTTAGTGTGGAAATCAATATACTCAAGGTGTCTTCTAGTTTTAATAGGGGTTAGAATTTCTCACCTTTATTTGTTTGCACGCGCATGTACATGTGCGTGTGCATGTGCACCATTGTTTATGAAACTGGAATAGTCAGTAGTTTCCTTTCATAAAAATGCATAAAAGGTTCTTGCATTTGTGAACATAAGGAATTTCAGAAAATCTACAAGTTGTGGAGGGGGAGACATGCCACCTGAATTCACCTGTGCAGCATATGGTAATGATGAACAGATTGATGGATGGATGTGTAAACAGATGTGTGTGTGTACGTGCGCATGCTCGTGTATTTATATATTTATTTCCCCTCACTCTAGGTGTACCTGTCCACGCGGCGTGGTATGTGGGTGTTGAACAGAGTAGACCAGTACGGACTGCCGATAGACATTGTCTCCATTAGACGGATTCTCAACTGGTTTATTAAGATAATGCCTTTCAATTTAATGTAGGTACACAGATTTTTCTTATTATTGCTGTTTTTTTCTTTCTTTCTTTCTTTCTTTATTTGTTTATTTATGTGTATATTATTAATTTTTTTCTGTAGATAACAGATTTAACTTTGAAACTCTGGGTCAAAATACAAACTAAGGTATTGAAAATTATGTAGTCAGCAGAAGCTGAGGCTTTGGTGTCAATAGAGAGTTTTGGCAAGGCCTTCCGTACGACGTATAACGTGCGACGTCATCACTTTGTGCGTAGTTTTTCTCAAGGACAAGTCATAAGTCATACGGCACTACGTATGAATCGGTGATTACACGTAGGTAAGAAACGTATCGAATTTAATAGATTTACGCTTATTTCTTTCAAGTTTAACATACTGCAGAGGAATATATAGGGTGTTAAGATTCCACTGAATCACTTTTAGACGCTGTCGGTAGAAATACTCTGTGAAAACAGCTGGAAAAACAGCCAGTCAATCAGTTGTCCGTAGTAGTATCAAATTCAATTTAAGTTGATTTTTTTCATAAACAACGGGATCTGCGGTATCAATTGACGTAAATAACACATTCCATTCAACATCTTAATTATTCATCTATCTAAAAAGAATCCAAATATTATAATATTTATATATAATATAAATAAAAATAATATGAAAAAACCGCATACGGAGTGAGACCTGCCAAAACCACTGCTAGCTTTCTCGCGTACGTAAAACGTATTACGTATTGAACTATACGTTACACGTCATACGGAAGGCCTTGCCAAAACTCTCTAATAACAGAGCATAGAGAAAGTTTTCAAAGATAATTTTTGAGGTAAACTGTTCTAATATCCAGGTGTTCCATTGGAGAGCAAAGGGTGAATTCTCGCTTCGATCACGCACGATATGGCATCCAACCAGAGCACAGAATCTTCAGCCAGCATCCCACCGTCAACGACGACCTACCAAACCGAATACTGAGCGGAGGAATCATCATCAAACCCAATGTGAAACAATTCACTGAGACGGGAGTGGAATTTGAAGACGGAACATTCGAGGACAATATAGATGTAGTTTTTCTTGCGACTGGGTACATCTTTGGCTTCCCGTTTCTGGACGAAGGCGTTATCAAGGTGAAAGACAATGTGGTGGATTTATACAAGTACGTTTGGCCACCAAACAGTCCAAAGTCCTCCCTGGCTGTACTGGGGTGCATCCAACCCCTGGGGGCCATCTTTCCAATTTCTGAGCTCCAGTGTCGTTGGGTCACCAGAGTGTTCAAGGTATTCCCAGTTTATGTCAGTTTCCAGTTTAGACAAAATTTTTAAGTTGGTTAACAAGCAGAGACTTTGGCCCCATTCAGAATAGGGGGACTAACTAGTCTGAGGGTCAAATATGGCCGACCCACTTGAATACTTCCCCATGGGATATCTATTCTGTGTCTATTAGTGGATTAGATGGCAAGCTTTGTAGTGGGTCGCCATATTTGACCCTCGGACTAGTTGGTCCCCTATTCTGAATGGGACCTAACTGTAAACAGGGTCATTAGACATTTATTTATTATTATTTTTAACAGGCATAGAAACTATTGTAGGGTTGGTTGGTGTGTATTTTTTTTCTTAGGAGTAGGAAATGTCAAGTCCACAGTGTTGGTGATTTTTTTTAGCACGAAACATATCAACATGTTGATCTTTCATGTAATTATAAATTGTTCCCGCTTACCAAACTAGTGCCAAATGCATGTTTTTTTTAATTTATTTATTTAAAGAAAAAAAGGGGGTTAGAAAAAAATCTAAATTTCCTTAAAATTAGGGTGGGTGGATTGGCATAATAGCTAAGTAATGGACTGTAAAGGATCATCAGTTTGGTATATGAGTGTGTATTTTAAAATACATTCAGAATTATTTTTCAGGTTGCCAAAGTGTGTTTGTACAGAGTTTTTAACCAACTTGCTGAGATATCGATTTAATGATTAAAGATAAACCTGGGCAAAGTTTTCTGTCAAAAGATAGGAAATTAATTGATTATATGTCATGAGGCATGTAAAAAGCACCAAAACAAGATAATATAAAGAACATTTTAAGAATTTTGAAGAGATCAGTCAAATAAGAGAAAATATATAACAAGAAAAGAAAATCTGTTTGCAGATTTTTGCCAGTTAGGCTTGGAAAAAAAAGGTTGGTCATGTAGAAAAAGCATCAAAAGCATGGTAAATAGTCCATATTATATTAAGCCAACAATTCCCTTAAATTTGCCTTTAAGATAAAAATCTGATGTTCAGTAAAATATTGACTTTCTCAGGGTCTGGCAAAGCTCCCCAGTAAAGATGAAATGTACGCAGACATCCAGAGAAAGCGAGAGGCGATGGCCAAGCGGTACGTAAAGAGCCAGCGTCACACTATTCAGGTGGATTATATAAACTACATGGATGAACTGGCAGAACAAGTAGGCTGCAAACCAGATTTAGGTAAGTCTTTGTTAAAAATTGATTTAGAAACCTGAACAAAAAGGGTAACAGTAGCTATTGCTTTCTCTTCTAAACTTTGAAAGTTTTCATTTTCATTGTTGTAAAGTTATACTCAGACACTGGTGCATGTACTTACAAGTCCAGTAGGCCTGTCCCATGCATTTTTAGCATGCATTTTTGGATTCTGTGTATTACTTAGTGTGTTTTCTGTTACGTCCCAACCCTAACAAATATACAGCAGAAATATTGTCAGAGATTTCATTGGAATAAAAATGTACCACACAAATCCATTTTCCCGAAAAATGTTGGTGATGGGGAGTGGGAGGGGTTTGCTCCACCCCCCCCCCTATCTCCCCCCTCCCCAGCTTGATTGATCTTCTTTATAAAACGTGATAATATACACAAAAGCAGACCATCTTTATGCATAATCATAGATATGATCAGCATCATTTTACATGGTTTGTGATTCTTAGATATACCATTCTTTGTCTAATCTATTTTGTTTATTAGTTCACATAGATTTCATTTTATCACAAGGTATGTATATTATTTATGTATTTTTGTCTTTTCAGTGAAACTTTTCTGCTCTGATCCTAGTTTGGCAATAGAGGTCGCCACTGGACCATGCACGCCCTACCAGTACCGCCTGATGGGCCCTGGAAAGTGGGACGGGGCGCGGAACGCCATCAGGACCACCATGGACCGAGTTTACTACCCACTGGGCACACGCAAGGTTGAGGGTCAGAACAAAGCTGGTCATGGCTTGCTGAAAATGTTGATTTTTGTCATTGTGATTGTTGCTGTGCTGTTTAAATTTTTCTTTTAAGGGAGGGGAAGTGGAATTGTCTTACTTCAGACTGTATTCATTCATTGATCAATGTGTGTGAGGTCATCACAATGCCATTTTTTAAAAAATTGGCAAGGGCAAAATAATGACGTTTAAACCATTAACCTTCAATACATAGCATTGATTTTTTTTTTTTCAGTTGAAGAATATTCATGGCAAATTTACTGCAAAACATTTAACCATTATTTCCAATATTTTTAAGTGTATCATGTATCAGTTCATTATTACATTCCATCAGGTATTTTATTTATTTATTTATTTACATGTAAACCTTGCAAGTGTTTTCTTGTTGGATGTTTTTAATACAGTAACATCAGTTGTATATTGTGTATCAGTTGTGTATTTTTTCCAGCAATAGAGATTTTAATCATAAAAATGAATGATTATCTGGTGTGTCATTTTCCCATTATTTATATCACAGTATCATAAAGGCAAATAATCCTTGACTGATGGTCTGTGCTAGTATTCCACGATGTAAATTAAATCAAAGTATATAATCTGTTATATGGACTGCCATAGTACTTAGCTTAAGTATTTCACATTATTATTTTGTATTTGTATAATGAACAGTATTTATATCAAGAAAGTATATCATTGCCTATTACATCTGGTGCATAAGATGCAAAAAGCTTTTAATCATATAATTTTTATGTAATAGGCTAAGCTAATTATACATCACTTTATTACTGGTGCTGATAAGCATCAAACTTGGGTCCAACTAAACTTGTGATAATAAATCAGCTTTAAATTATCAGTTGTTTTCATATTTTCAAGTATTTGTTTTTGTCTTAAAGACATTCTTAATGCTTTTATATTTGCCAGTATTTTGTTCATCTGTCCTTCTTTTCTATGTAGAAATTGTCACAAAGTGATATAAAATTTTATTCACCTGCAAAATATTACAGAACGAAACGGTGAGATTCTTGACACATAAGTTTTATGATGGTGCTGAGTAACATTGAGCAATGCAAAAAATAATATCAAATCGAAAAAAATATGACAATGTGAATTGTAATTGAACAAAAACTTGTAGGCAAGCAACATTTCAGTCCCTTTTTGGCACTTTGAGGTAAGACAAAACTAGAGTTATATATTTGATTTTTACTGCTATACAACAGCTGTACCAGTACTTTGGGTGAATAAAACGTATCATTCCTCCAAGGGTGCAGTCTCTGCTGCGATGCACCGATGATCAATCGCTAAATTTGAACAAAATTCATTAATAATATTTTCCACACAATGCATTTGCAATATCTTGAAAACGGAAAAAGCTGCATTCTTGCTGGAAACTTTGATTTTAACAAAAAGAGTACCATTTAAGAACAATAAAATATTGGCACAGATAAAATATTTGACGCATTAATTTGCCCTGACAAGAGGCTACACCGTCAGGGATAGGGGCGGTTCCGGGGTAACTGAGGAGACCCTTTTCTTCTTGCGTTTCCGTTTTACTGCCGGAGACGCCGCCTCGTCCGATACATGAAGTGTCTCCTCGTGATCTGCTTTCCTGGGGGTTTTAACTCTCTTCTTTACCCTCATGTTCTCTTTTGATCCTGTCAGTGTTCCCTCGACCTGCTTGGGGACTTTCGGTTTCTTTTTGCGACGTTTCGGTTTTGGGTGTGTCAAATGATTCCCCCAAAGGTTCCCCTTATTCTCTCTAAGAACGCTCATGACATACCTTTGAGCATCTTTATCTAGTTTTTCGGCTGAAACCATGAGCAAAATCAGCAACAAGGAATACCAGGCGATGTACCCTGCGTTTTTGAAGGTGAAAAGCAGCTCACTCAGCGTCATGCCATTCCTATACGTGACCATGATATAAATACGCACAACCAAGTAAGGAATATCTTGAAACACTAACATCATTGTATAGTACAGCGCACTGTGGAGACGACTGTTCTCAAACATCAATTTATGTCTGTCGAATTCGTCTTTTGGGGGAGAAGGCGCGAATTTTAAAGTGCTTATCACCGTGAATACCATAATGGTCACAGTTAGGGGGTCTTCAGAAAAAATGGAGGCGTTGGTGAGCAGGCTCTGGAATTCGGCGATGTCGTACAGTGGAAAGAACTCCATTCCACATTCCTTGATTATTGAGTAAATACTTGTGATGTCGTCGTCATGTTTTATCTGAAATATATAGATATAAAGAGTATTTGTAGGTCTTCTCATAATGCATTTAAGGAATTAAAAACTTAGTTTATATAACTGTAAACGCTGAATTTTCAAAGAAGTTTGAACCGAATGCTGAGAGAGAGAGAGAGAGAGAGAGAGTGAGAGAGAGAATGTGTTTGGAGGTGTGTGTGTTTGTGAGAGAGAGAAGGAGGGGGAGTGTGTGTGGGGTGGGGTGGGGGGTGGGGGCATTTCTCACTTTCTCAAAACAACTACTAATCTGACAACTGACCGTGACAACATAAACGAACATAAAAACCCAGCCCTGATCACTCACCTCTTTAAACTTCGCAAACCATTCGTTGACCACCAAGCACATCAGCACCACCTGCAGGATGAAAATACTCCACTCGTCAAAATGATCAAATTCGGCAGCTTGGATCAGGGAGCTTGGTGAACTCCCTAGCGTGCAGGCTGAGGTAGTATTGGACGTGGTGTTTTGAGCATCATAAACTTTGAGTATTGAGCAAGGTATCTTCTTGGCGTGCACCTGTGAAGAATTAGAATATAAAACCTTATTATTAATAACAATTGCTTTCTGGTTGCTACACGATAGAAACTTGCAAGTCGTAAATATATCCCACCATGAAATTAACTTTTTTGTGTTAAACGCCACATAGCTTTTTAACAAGCCATCTGCCAAAATTTCAATCTTAAATCTTAAACAGGCAGTATTAAGATTATAAGTATCAAGTTCAGTTTTGTTGAATTTAAGTAGATCCCTTTAAGAAAGATGTAAAGTCTAATTTGGCGCGGTTTTGTACCACACAATAAAACAAGCACTATGTCTACCTACCTTGAACGCCAGGCCCAATAACAGCATGACAGGTGTAGAACAGAACAACACGTACAGGGTGATAGAGGGACGCCTGGAAGATGGAGTTAATAGCGATTTAACACTTTTAACCAATAATTTCTTTGATGAACCATTCCAGAAAAAACTACATAGAGCTAATGATAAAAGAATGAGAACGTACAGTGTAACAGAAGACGATAAAGACGATCAAGATGACAGTTACTAATTTATTTAAGAAGATTTATTCGTTATCTCGCCAAGCGATTGCTTCGATCAATGGTTGTCTGTGTTTATGACTTATATGGACAACACGTTTTAACGTGTTTAAATGACATTAAAATGACAGGGCGACAAGAAATGGCCATTACGTGTGAGATAATACACTGTCACCCGAGCGAAAAAGGCCATTATATTTCGAGTGCCAGCGACATACATTCCAAGAAAAAATGCATTCATTTTTTCATTAAAGACCCTAAAAACCGAATAAAGTGACCCCATGTCACGCTCTAGAGAAGTTATATGGAACAAACTCGTCCACGTGCGCTGGTCACCTCCTGCCAAATTCTTATGTAATGTATGACATATTTGGTCAATTTTTGCTAAATACTTGTCGTGGAAGTATTCAACTCGCTTGAGCAGTATTTAACCAACCTAAGACACTGACCATGCGCGTCTCAGCTGAGCCACACCAAGCTGCGACTGTTGAGGAAAAAAGGTATCAGGCAAGACCTCTTTTTTACAGCCGGACGTGTAAGGGACGATTTCAAGCAATGTGAATCCCATAGTAATCACTCTCTAAGTCAGTAAGTAGAACCAATGAATACTTTATTCGCGACAACGTACTTGCAACTTGTAATTTTAAGGGCCTTAAGCTTAGTTTTCGCTGCAATATGGCTGAAAGTATATTGCGCTGGAAATTCCTTTGTCTGACATAACATTTGAATAATTGGGTGGAGCGGCGGTCAAAATTGTTGTTTAAATTTTGGACAGTAAAGGTCACCGCATCATGAGACACTGATTTCCCTGCGAGTCTATGGTATATTTCTGTATTTAGGCCTACGTGAGTGGACGGTGATGCAAAGGAGACGTTGGTCTCATTAACCTGTGCATTGTTATTATCTCCACTGAAATTTTCCAAGACTGAGGTGCACACGTAATATTTGGTTTCTTTGTTTATTTAATTCATTTAAAAGAATAAAATATTGACTTTTGTGTTGTTGTTGTTGTTGTTTATTCTTTTGCTATTTTAGACAGAATTCTGAGCAGAATTTCTGATTTCAATTTATTGCGTTGTGTGCCGAAGTCTGTTTACCAAATATGAATTAATTATACATTTTTGGATTCTATTAATAGTGAATTTCGCTATATGTAAAAGCTTGGTAGTGTATTGTGCTTTGATAGGTGAAATTATTTTGAATCAATTTAGTTTTCGCTTACAAATGTACAATGGCGAGTGCATCAAGGTTGCTAGTCAATCGTGCGACTTACGACTCGTTACGCTGCCAGGTGTAGGTCTTAAACTTGCTAAGTCACTATTTTCTCTATTCTCTTGATGCCAAGAAGGTTACATGCAAAAGCTTTGTTTTCGGCTTTCGAGAATTTTAGAGACCTCGACTGATTTAACCAAGATGTAGTCGTGAAACTCTAGACTACATCGAGGTTAAATCCGAGTTTTCCGAGAGACGCTACGCAGAAATGTCGAGTGAAGCGAGATATTTCTGGGTAGCGGCTCGAGGTTGCCCTCGATCTTCACTGAAGCTTGGCTAAATGGACAGGGTCCAGTGATCAACATATCGCCACGGTCACATAACATCCCAAGGTATGTATTCTTTACAAGTATTATTGTTTCTTTTTAAATTCATGATTAAGGCTACCCTCTTCCATGGTGGCAGATTTTGTAGGGAAAACGGAAAAATCCACACATAGCCAAATGACTATTTATCTAGAGACAAATCTGTGAATATATGTGGAAAATCCGTCTGTCGCCCTGGTAGAGAGTAGATTAAGGCCATTTTTTATTTTCTGAAATGGCGCTGAAAATGAAATGTTTGTAAGAAAATCAATACTTTTTCCAGTAAATTATTATCATTTTACAAGGTAGGCAAAGGCACCGATGACTGAATGATAATATTAATTTCCCATCAATGAACGAAAATGAAATCGAGGGATCTGAAATTTAATTGCTTTGGAATGAATTAAGTCAAAGAACAAAATTATAAACTCAGAAAAGATGCATGTGAACTGTACCATTTACATCATAAAATAAAAAAATACTTTAACTCACCACCATCTTCTTGCATGTCGTCTGCTAAGCACAGTCACCAAGACATAAATCACTAACGACACCAGCACCAGCCCAGCAAACACCCCTCCCAATATGTTCCTAAAACTCTCAGCGGTGACATCCCACCCGTACATGTACCCCTGCTGGTTGTTAACGGTGGCCTCCCCTGTGTATTTCTCCACCACGTGCCAGACCGTAAGGAAATAAGGCAGAGCGTAGCAGAACAGCTGGAGTGTGCCAAGGATCGTGTATTTGATCACCTGGCGACAAGTGGGACGGACGCATAGGGGTGGGGTCTTCTCACCGGCCACTAACAGCTCGTCACTTCGGGGTGAACTCGTTTCCATGCCTTGGTGATATTAACATGAGATGCTTGGTGTATGTATTCCTGGTAGGAAGGGAGATTTAGCTTTGTCTTAACGTCTGAGGAACGTGCGTTCTTGACACTAAAACTGAGATCTTGACACTTACATGTATATCTTGACAGTATACTTGGATACGGTAATGATGATTCCAAATCTAAATAAAGTGAACGTCATGCCTAAAAGACCCCACATATAAGAATCACAAGCCGTGTCATGTTGATCTAGCCACGTGCCTCTCTGGGGAATGACCCGTTTCCACGGTGATGTATAGCGGTAACCATGGAAACTTCCCCTCTCTACCGGTAAAGAGTATGTCGTAATCTCCCGGGCGTAGTCTGCCTTAGCCGTCTTTCCAGTCACTTAGCCCCGTTGTGATCATCATACATTCAGTGTCAGCCTCATGTTTACGTCGGCCCCTATAGAAATCGTGATAATAGTCCCTCAATACCTGTGAGCTTAATCGAAGCCCAGTCATAACGATGACCTAGCAACAACAGTTCAGCGTGTCAGGGTCGATACGAACATTTCTCCATGCGGAGCGACTTCAAAAGAACATTTCTATGCCGTATTCAGATGTGCGTGCATTTCAGTGCAACAGTCTACGCGGCTTAACGCGCACGTGGGCTGTTTTTTCTGTTTGATTATGTTATCGGTCTCATTGGATAAAAAATAACAGCACGCACTTCTTTGTACCTGACGACTTTTAAAACGCTGTAACATGTACTCTGTAGTGTATCTATGACAAAAACGATTTTGAAATGAAATTTATTTGGTTTCAAGTATAATGCCCACATAAAGCGTTTATCATCGGAGATTTAAAAAACGGTCCCTAGATTTTACAATCAAGGGTGTGCAATCCTCGGTTAATCACTTCATAATCCATTTTTATATATGAATAGTTTGAAAGGTGAACCGCCAAAAGAGAAATTAAATGCTTGACACGCTGTATTTCCTCAAATTTACCCAATGAATAAAATTCATCCATTTACGCACCCTTTTAACGGAAATGGGGGTTATGCATTTCGCCCAAGAGAACAAACGCTCTTTAAAAATATTATTTTTTTATCGTTTATTGCCAATAATATTGGGCAGAGGGGCGACCGACTACTTCTAGGAAATTATTCACGGCAAAAGATAGGAATTTTTAATGTTTTTCATCGCACCAAAAATCCACAAACAATCGTTTTTCCTTCCATAAAATAAGCATTATCAGTAAACCATTAAACCCAAAGGATTCTCGCAAACGGACCTTTATTAAAAAAAGAGGTGAATATCCACATACATATATAGCTTCATATGTAAATACAAGCTGACAAGCTGACAACTTTCATTATTCTCACGACTTAATAGGAAACTATCTATACAACAACGGTGTAAAAACAATACGACCACAATTAATATCTGACAAATATATTGTGGAAAGTTAATTATGCCCTTAACTCATTTTAACAGACTCCCCAATAAAGTTTTTAAAATCTTTAAAACGCAAACACCATATTTAACAAAAATTAACTAATCATTAAACATAACGTAGGAAGCATCAGATAAAAGAAAATCTCTCCTTTAGGACAAGGAATAAGGTTCATCTGCTCAACATTCGAGTACTACACATCTTTCTAAATAAAAACTAATACAAGGAGTAATATTAACCCCTGTGAGACAAATATCAATTTTTCTCTATCTCAGTACATTCAACACTTACTCTCACCACTTAAAAAAATAAGAGAAAAATTTTATGTAATATCATCTTTTAAAACATTTCAAGCTTAGGTAAAAATAGTAATAAATTAAGATGAAAATAGAAATAGAAAATTAAAAATAACCTTGCTCCTACAACAGTTTTAATTGTGCCACTCTAACATAACTATGACTCCCATCATAACGAGTCTTAACTCAAAACAGGGATTTTCAATGATTCAGAAATCATTTCCCTAAGTTTATCCTCAATTCTTCACAATTACATCTACTATCTTTATGTACCAAAATAAAAAGATTACATTATAAAACTAGAGGATCAGAGAGGCGATATCGCCTCCGAATATTGTACCACCAGCTGGAGCAAGCGCATTCGTATAGACCCCCACATACACAAAATAAGGGGTGCAGCCACCAGTCTTGTGCTTGACAAGCTGTAAAAATGCAATCAACAAGAATTTTCAAAATATGCAAAAAATATATATAACTAAAAATGGTGCAATCAAAGTTAAGTTCATTGTAAGGTAGGTCAAAGGTCAATTTCAAGGTCACAGTAAATTGCCAGTATATGACTTCCTATCCAACTTCAATAGTAACTATGGACCTATCTCTGCCAGTTTTGGAGATAAAAGGGAAGCAAAATTTGCAAAGTTCAGTTCATGGTGAAAAGTAGGTCAAAGGTCAAT